TCCGCAGGTGAGGTATCAGCAGGTGCTGACTGAGATACCACGCCCTCCAAGCTGTGGGCTCAGTCAATGTGTCCCAAGTGCCTAATGACTGAAGATGCACACACTGAGGGATGGCACCACCAGAGACAGAGGAAACTCCCCCCAGGATCAAGACTCCTCACGAAACCCAGTGGACAGCCCTTTTGCTCAAAACTAGGCTGGACGTGGGCCTTGCAGGAAGGTCAGGCTCTCCCTAAAAGTAAAGTTCAGTTATAATTTTCTGACTGTCTTCTTTGGGGTTTGTCAGCAGTGACAGAGCTGGCTTCTGCCCCAGCCCAACATGAAGCACAGTATGAGAAGGGGCCCTCCTGCAAGGGGTGGCACCTCCTCGTCCATGATGTCCAGGGAGCAGTGGCTCATGAAAAAGGTGGTCTTATGCATCTCACTCTCGCTATCTAGGTGACTAAGCAAATTGCAAACACAACTGAGGACAAAGCCTGCCAAAGTGATGTAAAAAGTTACATCGGAATATATTCAGAATCGGGAAGACAGGTACCACTGGGACCAGAGATTTGCAGGTATTCTGAAAAAGCTGACAGGAGGAAGCTTAGTGCCTGCAAGTTCGGAAGAGGCCTCAGCAGGCAAAGGTGATGGCCTTGTGAGGCTCTGGGGTCACAATGGAGGGAGTCATGGCCACTTGCAGGCTCTAACTTGGCAGGGCTTGGCCACCTGTCTCTACCCCAGCTTCAGTTTGGTGGGAACAGCCCTGGAAGAGCCCCTGGCCTGGAGCTACAGAAAGCAGTTGCACAGTGGTCAAAATCTAGTTGGAATGCTCTCCGGCTCCAAGACCACATCACACCCATGTCAAGTCCTTGAGCACAACAGGGACCCCAGTGCAGGCAGCAGCCCCAGGCTCCACAGTGAGGCTGGTCATGACCTCAGGTCACAAACCCCACTGCTGGCAGGCAGAGAGGCCTGAGTGCGCAGAAAGAAGGGTGCTCCTTGCCAAGCCTGCCTTGGGAGAATCGGATAGAGGAGGAAAGAATGAGACAGACCGTGCTGCTGTACCCATGAGGCCTGCAAGCCGTGCCGAGAGAAGCCAGACTCCAGGAAAGAGACTTCTGTAATTAAATATATCACTGGCTCACTGGGAACAAAAGCATGGAAACAGGTGAGGAGTGCATCAGCATCTCAAGGGTAAGCCACAGACTCTCCCAGGTTGTGAGGAGCAAAGGTGGAGAGCGGGTCACATAGAAAAGGTGGAGGTGGGTGGGGTTGGGGCTGCAGGAGGCAGAGCCAAGAGGAGGAGGAGATGTTTTCCCTGAGGAAAAACTGGGGCTTCAGGCTGGACTGAGCAAGAATAATGGAGTTAATTAATACCTCTGAACTCCCCAGGTAGATGAAACCCTACAAAGTTCCCATGGGGGAGATACGTCACCCGGAAGAGGAAGCTGACCCACAAACGGAGACAAGGGTCGTGATGACCACTTTGGAAAACAGAATTAAAGGACTTGTCAAGTATTACTGGCTTAGGAATGCTGTTCCGAGTAAATAAACGGGTACTTAGTACTGTTCAGTGATGGACTGATGTGTCTCCAGGAAGTCTGCTGCTTGGGGGTCAGTAGCTGTCCTGCGGTGGCTGGAACAAGGTGGGGGCCTCGCTATTTGGACAGATGGAAGGGGGTCTGTGATGGGTGAGGACAACTTGCCTCAGTTGCTCATATGTGCTCCCCACTGAGCTCCCTGATGAACAGAACCCTAGAGTGGGGTACGTTGCGGTTCAGTGGTTAGACCCTCCCATGCCCAGGGCACTGGTGGCCCCGCAGTCAGGAGGGGATGTCCAGAGGAGGGTGTGAGGCCCGGGAGCAGGCCTCCCGATTGATGGCCTGTGCTTCCCTCACCTGGTTTTTGTTTTCTTAGTGTTAAAAGTGCCTAATTATTGCCAACACTTCACAGATTAAAAAACCAAGGGGCAGAACTAAGTCACTTGCAAAAATCAGGGCCGTTTAACCACCACACTGACTGGCAAATCCAACCAAAGGAGAAAGACCCTAGCACCCCTGGAAAATCTACACTCAGTGGATATCAAGGAGGATCTCAAACCCAAAAGGCAGAGAGCCACACACACCACATTTACTGGCCACAAGGGAGGAGACTAGAAATTAAGAGCAAACTGAAGCCAAATAGGCTACTTTATTTGGATAGTTGAGAACACACTTCTTGATTAAAAAGGAAACATGGGGCCAGGAGTGACGGCTCACGCCTATAATCCCAGCAACTTTGGGAGGCCAAGGCAGGAGGACTACTTGAGCTCAGGAGTTCAAGACCAGCCTGGGCAACATAGCAATGCCTCGTCTCTACAAAATAAATAAATAAATAAATAAACAAACAAACAAATAAGAAATTTGAGGCTGGCCATGATGGTTCATGCCTGTAATCTCAGTTACCTGGGAGACCAAGGTGGGAGGATCGCTTGAGAACAGGAGTGCAAGACCTCAACTCTGCAAAAAAATAAAAAAGCTAGCCAGCCATAGTGGTGTTCGACTGGAGTCCAGGAGTTTGAGGCTACAGTGAGCTCTGATCATGCCATTGTACTCCAGCCTGGGCAATAGAGTAAGACATTGTCTCTTAAAAAAAAAAAAAAGAACTATGATGAAATTTAGCTTCTTTACAAATAAATGCTAGTGAGAATATTATCAAAGCCTGAGGGGGTGCAGCCAAGAATAAGAATACACAGGATAATAAAAATATGTTGTTGTTTTTTTTAAAGACTAAGAACACATAAAGAAAAGTTTTAACTCAAGAAGTCAGAAGAAAAATACTTTAAGAAATTATCTAGCTGGGCTCGGTGGCTCAGCCTGTAATCCCGCGCCTTTGGGAGGCTGAGGTGAGTGGACTGCCTGAGCCCGCGGGTTCGAGACCCCCCAGGGCAGCAAGACCTCATCTCTACAATAAATTAAAAAAAAAAAATCAGCCGGGCGTGGTAGCACATGCCTGTAATTCCGGCTACTTAGAAGGCTGAGGCGGAAGGATCACCAGAGCCCAGCAGGTCGAGGCTGCGGTGGCCGGGAGCGGCCACTGTACTCCAGTCTGGGCGACAGAGTGAGACTCCAACTCAAAAAAAAAAAAAAAAAAAAAGAAATTATCTGGTCACTTAAAAACAAAAAGTAGCCCCTTTGAAAGCAAATAATAAAACAGGCAAATCTTTGGCATTTCTGGGATAAAAAGAAAAGACAAAAATTACTAACAGTGAAATTGGAAAGATTTAAAACTGCAAAACAGAGTAAACTAGAGGAGGTATTATGCACAACTTTACATCAATCTGTAGAAAACTGTGCCAGAGGCCGAGGGCCGGCAGCCCACATCCACAGGAGACAGACCTGTGGGAGGACGGTTCCAAGTCCATGTAACTAACAAAGGCTGACCCAGAAAGAGGCAGGGCCTGAGCAGATATGAGCTCAAGACCACAGAAAAGATTCATGGGCAGGATTCCTCAAGGAGGTCTTCCAGCCACCAACAGACAAGACCTCTGTCACTTAAACTGTCAGAATCTGGGGGATGGCAGATGAAACCAGGGGTCAGTTTAAAAAAGAAAAGGTGATTTCCACTGTCCCTGCCCCCAAGGGCATCCCCCACTCCCTTCTCCACTGGCCAGAAACGCGACTTTGCCACATCCCACAATTCCATGCAGACAAGTGTCTATTTCTGTCATGCTCACTGAACTCTTTAAACAATACAGAAGTGCACACACTACAAAACGCAGGTTTTGTTATTCTATTCTTGTGCCCACACCACACTGCCTGTGATGGTGTCTTCTGACATGGTAGGTCTCTACCCTCCCTTTTCTTCAAACATCTCACAGTTATTCCTGAGCATTCACCTCCCAGATGAACTGTAGAGCAGGATGAATTCCATAATAAGCTGCTGGGGTCATCACCACTGAGGTCAATTTGGGGAAAGCCAACATCTTAATGCCAATCTTACCATCTAAGAACATCCAGGCACTTATAAGTTTTTATTAGTTATGTGAATAAAGCTCCCCTCCCCACCCCCCAAGCCTCCCTGAGCTTTCATCTTGGTCTAATCACCTAAGGAGCAACAGTAAATTCCAAGTTTTCAGTTGGTTGTCTTAGGCTTTACGCAAGACAATGATATCATCGGAGACCAACAGCATTTTTGTCTCTCATGTACATAATCTCAAGGTTTTTCCCAGTGTATGGGCTACGCTCATGTTGAAGAACAGCTGCAAATGGGCACTTTCTTGTTTCTGATTTTACTGAGACAACGGTTTTGTTTTATCATAAAACATGACTGTTAGATTTTAAATTAAGATACTATATTAAGAAGTTCTGTAGACATGGATATGGGCTCTTATCAAATTCTTTCATAGCATCTCTGTGATTGAGTTTTTTCATCTGATAATATAGTAAATGACACAAATAGATTCTTCAAGGCTTCATCATCACTTTACATTTCACATTCTACTGGGTTTCACTTTCTTTTCTGTAACCTTCAGAGACACACTTGGCAGAAAAAGCACAAATGATTAATGTGAAAACCTGGGAAAACTGAGCAGGCCAAAACTTCAGGGTGATCTGTGATCTTTTATATCTGCAATGTTCGACAGTGGGTACACAGTGGGTACAAGTAACTGTAGGAAAGAAGGAAGGAAGGAAGGAAGGAAGGAAAGAAAGAAGGAAAGAAAGAAGGAAGGAAGAAAGAGAAAGAAAGAAATGTCAGGTGTAGTGGCTCATGCCTGTAGTCTCAGCATTGTAGGAGGCTGAGGCAGGAGGACTGCTTGAGGCCAGGAGTTCAAGACCAGCCTGGGCAACACAGCAAGACTCTGTCTCTACAAAAAACAGAAATACAAGAAAAAATAAAGAAAAATAAAAGAAGGAGTCAGGAAGAAGAAAATTCAGCAGCACACTGAAGTAGCATCTATGTTTCCTCTAGCCTTTTCTTTCTAAACAGATGAAACTCTCGAGGGGAAGCTTCCAGCGCATGGGAGCATAGCGGCCCACCTGCTCGTCACTGCGGTGGTAGTCGTTGTCCTCCTCTGGCTTCTCCTCAGCGGCTTCCTTATTGGAACTGTCGTCTGCTTTGGTTTCACCTTTTAGTACAAACAGAACATACAGTGTCATGAAATCCAAAATGTTACACCATTTTTAAACCTCTATAGTATACATAAAACGCTGTCGAGAATTCATTCTAACTATGAGGCTTGGACCAAAAAGAACGTCGTTGAGTCCAGGGGGTAGCACATCACATTCCTCACATCAGGGTGGCTCCCCAAGAACACGAGAGCTGGGTGGGTGTGGGTGCATGGAGGGCACAGATGACAGAGGCAGCCCCCGGAGTGGGTGTGAGGGGCACAGACGCCTCTGCCTGCCTCGGGGCCAGAGCAGCCAAAGCTGTCACATTGACCGATCTCGTCAGGAAAGCCTGACTCCTAACATCTCATTATTCTTAATACTAATTTTAAAATGAAAACGTCACCACAGGTAAAACAGTTAGGACTAGCTCTGGTTCCCAGACACACTTCCTAAGCATCTCCCTCAGTCAAGCTTCCCCGACGCATGCCATTGACAGAGCCTGCAGCTCCCCTAGGGCCACAGCCAGCACCTCTCGCCTCTCAGACTGTTAGTAATACACGGGCAGTCTAGAAATCTCTTAGGAATCTGTGTGGCCCACTAGCAAATACCATGGCCTCAACGATTTGAGTAATTTGTTATGCTATGTACAGATTTAAAAATACCATTTAACTTTACATGGAAACCAAACTGTTATTTCGCCATTTTACAGTAAACAAAATTAAAAGTCTCAGAAAGAGCCGGGCTCGGTGGCTCAGCCTGTAATCCCAGCACTTTGGGAGGCTGAGGTGAGTGGATTGCCTGAGCCCACGGGTTCGAGACCCGCCTGGGCAACTTGGTGAGACCTCATCTCTACAGTAAAATAAAAAATTAGCTGGGCGTGGTAGCGCGCGCCTGTAGTTCCAGCTACTTGGAAGGCTAAAGCGGAGGGATCGCCGGCGCCCAGCAGGTCGAGGCTGCGGTGGCCGGGAACGGCCACTGCACTCCAGTCTGGGTGACAGAGTGAGACTCCAACTCAAAAAAAAAAAAAAAAAAGTCTCAGAAAGTTCACTGTTCACTACTTCTTCTGCAGGCTCTCCAACCCTTGACTTTTGCCCCCTGACCTCCAAGTACTTTCTGGGACCCCCTACGAGCCCTGCTCTCAGCTCTACCCACATTCCCACTGGCCTGGAAGTGATGAGGAATACCTCAAATCATAGCCTTCCTGTGCACCCACCCAAGTTTTATTACCTTCTAATATAAGCCACCTGGAAAAAGTTGGGCTGATTAAGTGAGCGCTTGAAGAAAAAGTTGAAGAAAATGGAATTCCCTAAGCTTCTCAATGAGCACAGGCATGTACTCACCATTCCGATGGGAATCTAAGTGTTGCTTTGCAGAACAGGTCTCCCCCTTGATGTCTCCAGGCACTTCCATGCCCAATTTGTGATAGAATTCCCTCTGTTTTCTCATTTCCGCTATTAAAAAATCAATATACAAGCTTTAATCTTAAACAGGGAATGAATTACATCAAAATTCTGTTCACAAATATCACATGAAGAAATTGTAGACTTGGGTTTACCAAGGTTTGAGGGTTCTCCTAGTAAGAGAAATCTTACACACATCTAGACTGTGACTCCTAGGAGCAAAGTACAGGGGACATACACCAGTTAGGCGCAGCACCTCCCTGTGTGAATGGACCCGTGAGGCCACCGCTCAAGGCCTGTTATAGACACGGAGCCCCTGTGACTGTGACCCTAACCTCCACAGCTGCCTGTGAGTGTTGTAGAACTAGTCATCACCTGATGCTGGATAAACACATCCTGCTGACCTCCCAGCACTGCCCACAGACTCCCTGGGCACCTGAGGCTGAGTGATGAGTATGCCGCCTGGCTCTCCCTCTGTCCCTGAGCCATGAGGGACTCCACCAGCTTAGAGGCCCGAGGCCACCATTGAGGAACTACAGAAGAGCTCTCACTGGCCTAAGGGTGGGTGATGGCACGAGGAGGACAAGGACAATCCTGAGGGCCATGTGTCCTGGGTGCGGGCTGTTCACAGTTGTGGTGCCTATATCTGCCCAGTGGTGGGTCAAGAGTGCCCCCTGGTGTCTGTGGCTGCAGCTGGATGAATTGTCAGGAGGAAACAGAGATGCCAGTAGGAGGAAGCTTCTTTGCCTGCTGAAGACAGGGGCAAGTCACTGCAGGTTCTCAGTCTCTCTGCTGGCTGGACCAGGAGAGGCTCTCCCAGCACAGCATCAGCCTGGCTCTCTTGGGATGGACAACAGGACCAGGACGGGACCTTGCATGTCTAGGGAAAGAGTAACTCTGCGAGACTAAGGCAACTCCGACTATACTTTTGGCAAATGCTCCCTCCCTGTGGCCCTAAAGCTCACGCTCCAGTGACAAAACAAAAGACACGGATCATTGCTGAGGACCACAAAGGAGGTAGTGAGAAGCAATAAACCATTCTGTGAAAAATAACTTGTATGTAGTTGACCAAGTGACACTTCATGAAACTTTTTACCTGCACGTTTGTCATTCCCCACAAGCCATGAGCTCTGTGATGGCCATGACATGCCTCGGGCATGACATGCCTCGGGCATGCCCTGCCCTACACAAGATGCCCGACCGTGCAGGAAGAGTAGATATGGCCACAAGCTCAGACAGAAAGAGGACGCCGCCTCTGGAGTGGGCAAGATGCATGTGAGCTGGCCTCTAGTGTGACACAGCATGGTAGGTAGGCAAAGATGGCCAGATGCCAGCTGAGATGAGTCTGGACAATCTGAGACCAGTGAAGAGAGCGGTGCCCTGAAATAATTCTATAACAGCAGCTCAGGAACGAAAGCTGGAACGCAATGCCTGCTGGTGGAGGCTACCCTCCAGAAGGGGTTGTGGCCTGAATTCAAGAGGCCCAGAGACAGCGCAAAAAGAGCCCCCCCCACAGGTGGGGAATGGCCCAGCTCCAAGCACCTTGTTCTAATTCCTATTAACTTTCACCTGTCAGAATAAAAAAGGATTGAAAATAACAATACCCAATGTCAGCTATAAACAGGCACAGAAACAGCTCTTTGGATAATTTTTAGGAAACTTGGCATTATATAGCAAAAAATACTTAGAACTTAATCCAGACATTCTACTGTTAGCAATGTGCCCTAAGGAAATAACCAGGTGAGCGCACAGGCAGATGGAGGGGAGGCGTCCAGATACGCACTGAAGTCTTATTCATAGGACTGGCACACGAGAAACAGCTTAAATGCTACAAGTCCAAGAAGAGGTGCTGGCTCATCAGAACAGTTGACTCCTGCCATGCACCTGCCACCTCATCGGCCACGGCAGACACTCCTGGATGAGGCCAGCAGTGCCTGGAACCCTTTTCAAGCACTAAGTTTGAGACACCCACCACCACCCACTACTGACAGTGCTGGCCACAAGGTAAGTGCAACATCCGGGACATCCCAGGTCATTCACTCAACACTCAGCAGCTATGCAACTGCCACAAAGGATGATGTGGCCTGCTCATGGCCATGGAGCAAGCACTGCAAATGCTGTCATGAAAAAGACAGATGAAAGAGCTCAGAGGTCACATGAACTCATGTTTTAAAAAACGAAAGATCCAACACTGAACTGGCTTAGAATCCATCAGTGTAACTCACCATATTAACAAAGAGAAACCACATGACCATCTCAATAGATGCAGAAAAAGCCCCAGACAACACCAATCCTGGCCAACTCTCAGCAAACCAAGAAAAGGGGCCTCCTCGGCCTGAGAATGGGCATCTGCAGGAAGCCCTGGCTCCACGGGAGGCTGGAGCTTCCCCTGAGATCAGGAACAGCTTCTATTCAACATCCTAGTGGAAGTTTTAGCTCAGGATCAGCATGCTTTTTCTGTAGAGGAACAGAAAGTAGATACTTGAGGCTTCGTGAGCGAATAGACAAAACGGAGACACTGTATAGGTACCAATACAACAGAAGAGAAACAATTCCACACATCTTTTTTATTGATGAAATTCACAATATAGTGATAATAATCAAGTGCAATTTTTTGCAATACAGTTCTCATGAGAAGAATGGAATCCTTTGGGGGGGGGTGACACCTGTTCACCTGGAGAGAAATGCCCATGCTTCCTGTCACAACACCCACTGTACTTGTCCACCTGCTCCTGTTCATTTGTAGTGAGGTTCTACAGATTCCATCTTTGCAAATGTCTTTTCACATAGAAATTCTGACATCAGGCCAGAGACATATGATTTTGAGCACAGTCGTCACTCAGAAGACACTTATGGAATTTTCATGCATTCAACTGCAGGTTGATCTCTTCTGACTGAAGCTTAAGTGCAAGCACCTCAACCAGATGAATTTTGCAAGCACCAGTCCAGATGAATTTTGAAGAACAGAAACCTGTTGGCACTTCCACGAGGAAGTGCCTGAGACATACATTTGCCACAAACCTGTGTGTGGGGTGCAGCTCTTGCCTCCCCTTCCACCTCGGGAATACCTGGGAAGTCAAGTGGATTCAAGCAACATTGGCTGTTGTGAAAGTGACTTTACTGCACAATAAAGTTTTGCACAGAAGTGTCACTGTGCCTTATCATATTAGACTGAATTTGGTAGGAAACATTACCAGGTCTTTAGCGAAAGCTAATTTCCAAAGCCATTTAGTGCTTGACAATAGTGGTTAAAGGTGCTTCTCATTCAGAAAAATTTCAGTTTCTGCCTTTAGCTAAAACACACACACACAGCTTTCTCACTGCTAAGTCATTAAAGTTTGTGTGATAGGAAAATCAGGATGTTCAGCTTCTAATTCTGACGAAAATCTCTAGAACTGGTGATGGCTGTGTCCACATGAACCTGAAACGCCTGACACTTCCACAACTTTGCTACTCTGTCCAGCTGTGGACTCACGAAGGCCACCTCTTCAGTCACTGCCAACTTGGCACTGACTCTTAAAACAAACCACCACTGAGCATCAGGGACATGCAGAGCCAAGAAAAACCATCCAAAACCATGGGCCACATTTGTTGACTGACTACTGATGCTGCTTCCAGCAAACACCCTTAATTCAACAAGCACCTGTTCTGACCCAGAGGCTAAGGGTCAAAAACAAGTTTCTTGTCTCTGGAATTATTTTTTCAGTTACTGCAGTCAGATGCAATTTAATTAACTCATCGTCAGTGAGCAGCTTTCCTTGGTCTGCTCACAAATGAGCCCATCACAAGACTGTTTTGATGTCTGCCTCATCGTTTTTTATTTTTGTGAAGAAAGTCTGCTGTGATGAGATGGCAGTTTTACATTTTCAATGTCTTCTAAAGACTGCTGTCCTGTGAGCTGGCAACATTGTGATGAGTGCGTGGTCTGGCAGCACCAAAGCTTGTCACGTTCTTTCAGCGCAGTGTAAGAGAAGTGCAATGCTCTGCCATCCAACAACGGTTCAATAACAAAATAATCCGCACTTCACTGTGGCTTCAAAGTGTAGTATCTGAAGTCTGCTCCTCTGCTTTCCTTGTTCTGACATGACGAGTATGCACCGGTAGTAAAAAGTCTCAACACAGTGACAACGAAAGGCCCGGTCCACCAGTGGTATCTGCTCACTTAGCCTGCTAGTGTGCTGAGCATGGCTCTGAGCAAGAAGAGGCAGCGTGTGGCCCGTGTCAAGTGTGCAACCAGGCTGTTGATGGGTGACAGACCATACATGCATGGGTGAGCGTGGCTGTGCCTCAGGAAAACTGCATACCACGCTCCAATTCTTGAAAGTTCACGTGTCACAAAGTACTATTCTTTTTACTTTTTCCAACTATTTGGAAATGTAAAAACATTCTTAGCTTATGAGCCACCCAAGACAGGCAGTGGGGCAGAGGCAGCCGCGGGCTGAAGCGTGCCAGCTAAGATGTGCCTCTCTTGGACCCGGCAGCTCTACTTCCGGAATAAATCAATGGGTATGTCCACTCATCCGCAAGAGAATGTGACAAGAGCTCACTGTGCCTCTCTTCTGAAGCAAAAGATAAGAAGAAGCAAATCGTGTGTCATAGATGGATAACGGAGCAGACAATGAATCCTCCATGACCCTCAGCAAGCATAGCGTCTGGCCTAATGCTCCAAAGCCCATGCTGCATCTGCGAAGTGAGAGCAACACAGGCAGGAGAAGAAAAGTGGAGCAGGTGGGAGTGAGGCTGAAATAGGCAATTTGATAGATTTTGTAGATAAAGATGTTGCCTCTGGAACAACAGGTTTTAAAAACTGAGCACCCCACCTCTCATCTGCAAGTTGTGATGTGTAGCCTCCTCACGAGTGGGGCAGGAAGGAAAGGCCAGCTAGCGGGCCCTGGACAGAGCACAGCAGGAAGCTCATGCCTTCTTCCAAAAAAAGGCTCAAAATCTGGAGGGTCGTCAGTACATGGGCTCACTAGCACACCACCGCAGATAAAGCGGGTTCCTGGAGGAGAAATGAAGCTTATGACTGCTGGCGCAACAGAGAAAACCAAAGAAACGGCAGACGGCCACCATCAAGAAAACAGACACATTGCCAAGGGCTCAAAGTTAGAATAATCTTTCTAAAGAGCAGTACATGCCTGAATACTTGAGAAACAGAGGAGTGTTTCCTAGACAGAATACGCACTGCTGAGGGACATGCTTGAGGAAAGGTAGGGTCCCTGCACGGGATGCAGATCTGGAGAATTCCTGAATGTCCACACTTGCTTTCTTCAGTGTTAACGTAGGTAGCGGTGCCCACCCTGGGCAAGTGAGAGGGTATGGTGACGGGAAGCTGAGGTGAATGGGAGCAGATGACCTGTCCGAGGCTAGATGGTTTCTATACCTGCACCACTTTCTTCATAAGCAAGAGCCCCATCAGAAAGGGTGTCACTGAGCACTGACTACTGCCCGAGACACTGCTGCTGCCCACCAGGAGAAACCTGGATCCGTAGAGCTATCTGGGCAGGAGGGAGACAGGGCAGCCCCATCACCTTCCTGTGCCGAAGCAGGAACCATCTGAGACCACCAGAGCATGTTGAGGGGCTCAGGAGCCAACATGAAGAGGTGCTCTGTGGCCACAGAGGAGATGACTAGATCTCCAACAAGGGTAACAGCCTCTAACACGAGCATGTGGTGGGTTTAACTCCACCTTACTGGCAGCTGCAGGAAAGACTGGTAAAGCAACTCCTTGTTTTGAACACAAATGAAGGAAAGACTACCCATCTGTTCTGCCTTTCCATACACAGTGGACAAGATAGCAAAGTGTGTCTACAGAAGTATTCCAACTAATAAACAAAGAGGAGCGACAGGAATGAGACGGCACTATTTCACTGCCTATGATGAATTAATGGATCTAAGTTGCTTGTACAATACCTGCCCCAAACGGAAAACTACTCAGAAGTAGTCTCACCAGAAACACAATCAGGAACCCAATGATCCCACGCATGGGACATTCTGTGGTATCTCAGCACATCCAGACCTGGGGACACCCTAGGACAAGGGAAAGACAGGGACGGGGGCACCCAAAGAAGGTCTATGAATCAGTCCCAGAGTGGACTTTATGTGGATCCTGATCGAAATAAACAAAATCATACAAAATGCAAAAAACACGGCATTTATGAGACAAACAGAAATATCAACACTCAGTGAACACTTGATATTAAGGACTCACAAGCCGGGCTCGGTGGCTCAGCCTGTAATCCCGCGCCTTTGAGAGGCTGAGGTGAGTGAATTGCCTGAGCCTGCGGGTTCGAGACCCGCCTGGGGAGGCGAGACCTCATCTCTACAATAAATCAAAAAATTAGCTAGGCGTGGTAGTGCGCGCCTGTAATTCCGGCTACTCAGAAGGCTGAGGTGGAAGGATCGCTGGAGCCCAGCAGGTTGAGGCTGCGGTGGCTGGGAGCGGCCACTGCACTCTAGTCTGGGCGACAGAGTGAGATTCCAACTCAAAAAAAAAAGGACTCACTACTGTTTTATTACATGTATTGTGATTATGTTTTTAAAAGTATCTTTATCTTTTGAGATACATTTAAAATTAAAATGACATGAGGTGGGATTGAGGGAGCCACAGGCAGCACAGGATAGACCATGGTAAGTGCTGTGCAAGTTGTGAAAGCAGGGCTCTTGTGGCCCGACACTTAGGTTTAGAACACTCTCTAATGAACAATCCTTAAGGCCTCACCATTTTATTTTGGTGCATTCTTTGCCTTTTTCTGGGACTCAAGAACTTTTAGCAATCAGAGGACTGTTTCTATTTACATGTACTCAGGAAACCTAAATTCTTGTGTGAATGAATTCTGTGAACAGTGAAAGAAGCCTCCTCTAACAATGTTGTTCCCTAAGTCATGTACTAAAGGCAGGATACAGTTTCTACTCATCTAACACATTAAGCTGCATTTTAATTTATAACCATACTCTGAAATACAACAGTGTGAGAAAGAGCCCAAATGAACTCTTAACATATCTATCTTTCCAGAGGGTAGGAGGCAAGCCTGGGGAAGGAGGCAGAGCCATGAGGAGGTGGGGCCTGGCGTAGAAGGTGGGGCCAGGGGTAGGAGGTCTTTGGGGAGAAGATGGGGTACCAGGAAGAGGCAGAGCGCAGGTGAGGAGGCGGAGCCAGGAGAAGGAGGCGGTGTCTGGTATAGGAGGTGGAGTCTGAGAAAGAGGTGGGGCCCTGAGGAGGTGGGGCCCCAGATAGGAGATGAAGTCTAGGGTGGCTGGTGGGTCAGGAGGAGGCAGGGTCAGGGGTAAGAGGCTGGGCCTGGGGGTAGGAAGCTAATGGGGGTGGGGAGGCCTAGGGAGGCAGGGGCAGGGTAAGAAGGGGGGGGGGCCAGGAAGGGAATGGAGCCCAGTGTGGGTAAGAGCTGCAGCCCAGCCCCGGCCCCCTGGAATGTGATCCCTGCTGGACAGGAGATCCCACTGTCCAAACAAGGGTTCACCAGCATGAAACATGCCATCAACACCTGCTGAGAGGGACAGAAAAGAAGTCCGTGCATCACAGGAAGCCAGTTGAAGAAACCAGCCAAGGAGGCACAAGTGAGCCAGAAGCAGGATAGGCAGGCAATTCTGCCACAAGAAAAGAAGCCCCTGTCCAAGAACCAGGACTTCCAGGGGAGCAGGAGCTGTGGACCAGGAAGGAACACATAGACCAGGGAGACTTTGAGACTCACCTTCCTGGAGACCAGGCACCAATTTGTAAACGATATCCTGCATGGTTCTGTCATGACTAGAAAAAGAATAGAAGAGATGGCGTCAACTAGAAATGTTAATTCTGTAATTCTCGGACATTTTCCATTTAACAACATCAAACTCCAGAATCACAAATTTGGAGTTTTGGTGGAATTTTATTTCTGCTTTACATATGAAAAAATCTCTGTCCTACCAAATATTATGTATTACTTGAATTAACACACCATTCAATTTAGGTTCTAGCTGCTAATGAACATCTCAAATAACGACACAAATAAGTCATTCGAGAAAGTAGTGCCCCTGCTTACTGGACCTGGGGCCAACATGCAGAGAGCACGCCGTGCTCCCTGCATCCCATGTCCTCAGGTGACACCATCCCTGCCCTGTTGTCATCACCTGTTCCATGGTCCCTGCATCCCGTGTGCTCAGACAACACCATCCCTGTCCTCTAATGGCCACCTGCTCTGTGCTCCCTGCATCCATGTGCTCAGATGACACCATTCCTGCCCTCTTGTGATCACCTGTTTTGTGCTCCCCCCATCCTGTGTGCTAGGGTGAGATCATCCCTGCCCTCTCAAGACCACCTGCTCTGTGCTCCGTGCATCCATGTGCTCAGATGACACCATCCCTCTCCTCTGGTGAGCACCTGCACTGTGTATCCGTGTTCTCAGGCAACATCAGCCCTACCCTCTCATGACCACCTGCTCCATGCTCCTTGCATCCCATGTGCTCAGACATTATCTGTGCCTTCTTGTGACCACCTGCTCCACACTCCCTGTATCCCATGTGCTCAGGTGACACCATCCCTGCCCTCTTGAGACCGCCTGCTATGTGCCCCATGCATCCATGTGCTCGGACGACATCATCACTGCCCTCTCGTGACCACCTGCTCCACGCTTCTTGCATCCCATGTGCTCAGTTGACACCACCCTTAGTCTGTGTTCTCTGCATTACATGTGCTCAGGCGACACCATCCCTGCCCTCTTGTGACCACCTGCCCTGTGCTCCCTGTATTACGTGTGCTCAGGTGACACCATCCTTATCTGCTAGTGACTGCCTGCTCCATGCTCCCTGCATCGCTTGTGCTCAGGCAACACCATCCCTGTCCTCTAGTGACAACCTGCTCCATGCTCCTTGTATCCCATGGGCTCAGGTGACACCGTCCCTGACCACTGATGAACACCTACTCTGTGCTCCCTGCATCCATGTGCTCAGATGACATCATCCCTGCCTTCTGTGACCACCTGTCTGTGCTTTTTGCATCCCATGTGCTCAGACAACACCATACCCGCCTTCTTGTGAGCACTTGCTCCATGCTCCCCGCATCCTATATTCTCAGACAACACCATCCCTGACCTCTCGTGACTACTTGCTCCATGCTCCCTATATCCTGTGTGCTCAGGTGACACCATCCCTGTCCTATAGTGATGACCTACTCCTTGCTCCCTGAATCCCGTGTACTCAGACAACACCATCCCTGTTCTCTAGTGACCACTTGCTCTGTGCTCCTTGCATTCCATGGGCTCAGTTGACACCATCCCTGACCTCTGGTGCCCCCTGCATCCACGTGCTCTGATGACATCATCCCGGCCCTCTTGTGACCATCTACTCGTGCTCCTTACATCCCAAGTGCTCAGACAACACCATCCATGCCCTCTCGTGACCACTTGATCTGTGCTCCCTGCACCCCATGTGCTCAGGTGCACCATTCCTGGCCTCTAGAGACCACTTCCTATGTGCTCCCTGCATCTGTGTGCTCCGACGACATCATCCGTGCCCTCTAGTGAGTACCTGCTCTATGCTCACTGTACCCCACGTGCTTAGGTGACACCATCCTTGCCCTCTAGTGATCACCCACTCTGTGCTCCCTGCATGCCATGTGCTCAGACACCATCCTTGCCCTTTTGTGACCACCCACTCCATGAATCCCGTGTGCTCATGTGACACCATCCCTGTTTGCTAGTGGCCGCCTGCTCTATGCTCCCTGCATCCTGTGTGCTCAATCAACATCATCCCTGTTTTCTAGTGACCACTCACTCTGTGTATCCTGCATCCTGTGTGCTCAGGTGACACCGTCCCTGCCCTCTCGTCACCACCTGTTCCATGGTCCCCGCATCCTGTGTGCTCAGATGACACCATCCCTGTCCTCTCCTGTCCACCCACTTTGTGCTCCCTGCATCTGTGTGCTCAGACAGCACCATCCCTGTTATCTAGTGACTACCTGCTCCATGCTCCCTGCATCCCATGTGCTCAAGTGATACGGTCCCTGTCTGCTAGTGACTACCTTCTCTGTGTTCTCTGTCTCATGTGCTCAGGCGGCACCATTCCTGTCCTCTAGTGACTGTCTGCTCTGTGTTCCCTGCATCCCATGTCCTCAGGGAACACCATTCCTCTTGTGACCACCCGTTCCATGCTCCCTGCATTCCATATGCTCAAGTGGCACCATCCCTGTCCTATTCTGACCACCCACGTTGTGCTCCCTGCATTCTGTGTGCTCAGGCGATACCATTCCTGCCCTCTCATGACCACCCACTCCATGTTTCGTGCATCCTGTGTGCTCAGGTGACACCATCTCTGCCTGCTAATGGCTACCTGCTCCATGCTCCCTATAATCCGTGTGCTCAGGTGACACCATCCCTGCCTTCTCCTGTCCACCTACTTTGAGTTCCCCGTATCCTATGCACTGAGGCAACACCATCCTTGACTTCTCGTGACCACCTGCTCTGTGCTCCCTGCATCTGTGTGCTCAGGTGACACCATCCCTGCCCTCTTGTGACCACCTGCTCTGTGCTCCCTGCATCCAGGTGCTCAGGTGACACCATCCCTGCCCTCTCATGACCACACGCTCCATGCTACTTGCATCCTCTATGCTCAGGCGACCTCATTCCTATTCTCTAGTGAACACCTGCTCCATCCTCCCTGCATCCCGTGTGCTCAGGTGATACCATCCTTGCCCCCTCATGACCACCTGTTCTGTACTCCCTGCATCCTGTTGCTCAGGTGACACCCTCCCTGTCTTCTTGTGACCACTTGCTCCATGCTCCCTGCATCTGTGTGCTCAGGTGACACCATCCCTGTCTTCTCCTGTCCACCTGCTTTGTGTTCTCTGCATCCCATGCACTTAGGTGACACCATCCCTGCCCTCTTGTGCCTACTATCTCCATGCTCCCTGTGTCCTGTGCACAAGGGCAACACTTCTCATCCCTTCAACCCTGGGTGCTTCCTGGGGCCTCTGGTGTCTAGGGGATTTACACTGAACAGAAAGTTTTTCTTAATGTCTCCATATAATGTAAAATCCCTGCTATCAGGCCCTTCCTGAGGTCTTTACAATCTGTCTCTGACTGAAGGAGCACCCGGTCCCTCAGATAGCCCCATCCCAGAGCATGTGTGGGGGCCATAGGGATTGGGAGACAAGGAGAAAGGGGAACAGAATCTGCCCAGGCTGCACCCCAACCCTTGCCCAGCATGAAACCCCACCACCTCCTGTGTCAGCAGTTCCCATGGGGAGGCTCCCCAGCTCTGAAAAACTGTACCCCCAAGACAGAAGCACATTATGTGGTCAGCAATCTGCACCAAGAACCCTCCAAAGCAGACAAGCAAGCAAAGAGCCAACTCAACGGTGGTCCAAGACATAAATGGCTAGTCTTCAGAGAAGCTCCAGTTCCCACCTGGGAAGACGCCTGCATTCACGACTAATCAGGGAGTAGGCAAGATGTCCTCCAGGCTGCCATGCTGACAAAACTAAACACTTGGTTATGCCAAGTGCCACCCAGGAGGCAGTGCAGGAACTTGAAACTCGTGTGGCTGGAGGAGCAGCAGGAAGACAGGACACGTGCTAAGGAACAGCATGCATCTCCCAGCCCTCCTCAAGGTTCTGGCTTCTGAGAGGGAACATGGAGACGGGGCAGGGGGCCTAGCAGGGTTGCTCAGAGCAGCACCGGCATCCAAGTCAGCACAGCCCCCAGCCATAGACACACATCACAGGGATGCATCCAAGGGGTGGGGCACATAGCAAACACATGCGGGTCCCTCAGGTAGGAAGCTGGAGAAACAGGAGACCAAGTCAAGTGGTCTGGAACGACTGAGGGAGGAGGCCTGAAGGGAGGGCTCTGAGCCCTGTGATGACAGCCTGCTAACTTTGGACCATCTCGCCTTTGCGAGGCTGTGTTCTAATCTGCTGCATGAGACACTTCACAACTTTAAAAATGGAAAGCAAACAGGCATGCCTTTCTTCCTTCAAAATGTCTTCAGAATCACCCCTGTTACCTGTGGTATGGGGAATGCTTCCCTTCCTTCAGAGTGGCCCCCAAACCCAAACGTCATCTCAAGCTCTGTGAGAACCTCGCACTACAGTTGGCTGGCCCGTTGCCCTCCTTGCCTGGCACCCTGGTCAAAGCGAGGTCCTCCCTCACACCTGCCTTCAAGGTGGCACAGGGCAGAAGAGCCACTGGCTACAGGGCATGAGACACCAGGCTACCCGTTGGGGCAGCAGGGCCCTGGGACCACTCCATGGCAGAACGGCAGGCACAAGGGCGGCCTCCAGTGTTAACTGAACTTCACTGACTTAGTGTGTAAGATGTGAAATCCAACTAGGTCTCGAGGTTTCTCAAACCATCTAAGTACCACTAGAAATTTGCAGGCAGGCACAGCAGGATGGCCTGGTGGGCAGTGGACGCATGTCCCACGCGGGGTCATGGGGCTGCACTCACCCGATGTACTGCAGTGGGTGGCTCTGGTGGATGACGATCCTGCATGTGGGGCAGGTGTTGTTCTCCTCCAGGTACTTCACTAGGCAGCTCCTGCAGACTGTCCCAGAGTACACGTCAGGCAGTCAGGCCCAGTCTGCTGCCATCCCACCCTTGCGCTCACCGGCGGCTGGTGCGCATCTCCCAGCCCTCCTCAAGGGTCTGGCTTCTGAGAGGGAACCTCCTGTCTTTCAGGTCTCTAAACAACAAGAATGCCTGAACTTCCTGGCCAGTGGCCTTGCTCCACGATTAGGGCGCAGGAGTTAAGTGGGAAGACAAACTTCAAGTGAGAATACCACCAAAGATGAGAGGGTTGCAGCCATCAAAACATGTCTAGTATGAGGGCTTTTATAGTAAGTTGGACTAAACAAACATAATATTTTGTACAACAAAACTAGATAAAATTCAATAAAAACAACCTAACACAAAATTATGCCCATTATCTAAAAATACCATTAACTGTAAAATAAAAATGCTATCCAAATGGGTATTTTATTTTCTAAAGTGAAAAATACACAATCAAAAAATCATTTGTGTGGGCCTGGTGCAATGGCTCATACCTGTAACCCCAGCACTTTGGAAGGCAGAGACGAGAGGATTGCCTGAACTCAGGGGTTTGAGACCAGCCTGAGCAACATGTAAGACCTCGTCTCTATAATACATTAAAAAAAAATAACTTGTGGGCTGGGCGTGGTGGCTCATTCCTGTAATCCTAGCATTTTGGGAGACTGAGGCAGGAGGATCGTTTGAGGCCAGGAGTCTGAGACCAACCTAGGCAATAAGACCCCATCTCTACAAAAATAAAAACAAGCCACATGTGGTGGTACATACCTGTGGTTCCAGCTACTTAGGAGGCTGGCATGAATACAGGAGGTTGAGGCTGTGGTGAGCTGTAATCTCACCACTGCACTTCAGCCTGGGCCACAGAGTGAGACCTTGTCTCTAAAATTATGTTTTAAGTCAGGCTCGGTGGCTCAGCCTGTAATCCTGCGCTTTGGGAGGCTGAGGTGAGTGGATTGCCTGAGCCCGTGGGTTTCCACCTGGGCAACTTGGCAAGACCTCATCTCTACAATAAATCAAAAAAATTAGCCAGGTGTGGTAGCACGCACCTGTAGTTCCAGCTACTTGGAAGGCTGAGGCAGAAGGATTGCTGGAGCCCAGCCGGTTGAGGCTGCAGTGGCCGGGAGCAGGCACTGCACTCCAGTCTGGGTGACAGAGACTCCAACTCAAAAAAACATGTATATATATGTTTTAAGAAATCATTTATATTACAAGCATTCACTTTCTTGTAAAGATCCTGTTAAAACAAAATGCTCCTCAGGCACTGTTAGAGACATCTCTAGTGGGCACTTCCAGTTGCCCATACATAAGAACACTGCCTCACAGTAACCAGGGATGCTGCCCACCAGCTGAGGCAGAGGTGGAAAAAGAAAAACACCTAGGTTCAGCCCAAGCTAAGATCCTAACAGCCAAAACACAGGCTTATCTGGTATGAGGAACAAACCAGGAGATGCCTCTAAAAAAGTTAAGGAATTCAATTGGAGATCTTAAAATGAGCATCTCTTCCTGCTAGGAATGAGTATTCTGTTATAGGGCCATTCCTGATCTCATGTTATATGTATTTGGCTTTTCTAAATGATGCCACATCTCCTCTGAAATTACCCACAGTATCTTCTATTTGAAATAATTTTCTGGCTTATCCTCAAGATCTTTGTTCCTGCCCCTTGGTCTTGCTGCTCTCAGTGCCTGAGTCAGGGTTCTTGGTGAAACAAAAGCCCTCGTTCTAAAGAGCACAAGCTAGGCACCGCCCTGCCCCTCAGTGTCCCACTGTCCAGGCAGCACGTACACGTGTGCAGACACTCGGTCACTGTAGTCGCATCAATGAGGTACCCGCTGCACAGGCGGCAGGTGATGTGGGCGTTGATGTCCCACAGCTTAATCTTCCTGGTCAACATCTTTGGCTTCTGCAAGAGGAAAGCACTTATTAACTAGCATCAGAAGGACCCCGATGTGTTCCGTCCAAGGCTCGGTACCATAACGGCCCTCCAGGGAGGAGTGGACAAGGCACAGATGGCCATGGATGACTTGGGCCCCAAGTCCCACTGCCGGTCTGCAGGCTGTGACGAACAAGCAACCGTCTCCCAAGACTGCAGCACCCTGGCTTCTCTGCACTCGATACCCCCTCTCCTCTGGCTGCAAGGACTGAGGAGAAGCAGGAGCAAGGAGAGTCCACACAGCTGGAGAAGGGTGCCCAGGAGGGCGGTGCGGGGCCTGGAGCCAGGATGCAGGGATGCCTCCTCCCCATGATGCCAGGGGCTGCTGAGGGCAGAGGGAGCGGGAAAGGCAGAGTCCACTGTAGGTGCAAGGGGAGGTGAGAACAGAGCTGCCCCGGGAGGAACTTGGATAGGAAGCTGGGGACACTCAGATCCTCTGCTGTATCTTCACAGACCTCAAGTATACACATGGCGAACAACATGGAGGAACCATGACCACAGGAGTGGCCCCGTGGACCTGCTGTAGCACCTGAGGTATATGCACCAAAGACCAGATACACTCACATGGGGCCAGGATATAATCCACGTGGGGACTGTCCTGGCTTCACCTCTGTCTCCTGGGGCCGTGACTCCGTAAAAACAGAGATGATGCCACCACCTTCCTGAGCCTGACTTGATGCTGGGCAGGGGCTGTGATTCCTGGGGTCCCTCCCTCCCTCCGTCCAGCTGTGCTATCCATGAGGCACAGTGTGGGGGACCAGTTCTCACTTCCTAGGGTGGGCACAACAGAGGCTTCGCCCAGTAGGCAGTCACTGCCCTGAGAACTGCTGCAGCCATGCACCTCACGTGCCAGGTCCATGTCAGGGAGGCCAGCTCCTGGGGTACCACAAGCCCTGGTCTGGCACACCCTGGTCTAGTCGAATCTGTGCTTGAGTCCACTGAGCCAGGTCCTGCCACGAGTGAGTCACAGGCGATGCTGCTTCTCTGTCCTCACCCCACGTCTCTTATGTAGGGAGCAGCAGGTTGTTGCGTTTCTCTCAGCAGGCATAGAAAGCCAGGGCCCAGGTCACTGCATCTGTGATGCCATGTCTGTTACCTGACCATCACACCAAGAGACTCCTGGCCCAGAACCCCCTGCTGGGCCCAACACCCCGTAACTGTCCACACGGGCCTGGTTACCTCACCTGTGTCTCCAACAGTAGCCATGAGCCAGGCTCACCTGGGCCTGAGTGCAGCCAAAGCCTGGCCCCTGGCCCCTGCCCGCCATTTCCATACTGCTGTCCATGAGGACACAGGGATGCCAGAGATGCAGTCAGCCCAGGCTGGTATGCCCCTGTGGCGTTCTGCCGAGTGAGGAAGCAAGGCCCCGAGTGGACAGGGAGCTGCCACGACATGGGACCAGTGCTAAGGGCTGCAGGTCCTTAAGTATTGATAAGTACTGATTATCGCTCACTGAATAACAAACGGTCACAAGCCCATGGTGAGGTAAACAAACAGAAGCACGGAAGGTGTGAGTGTGAAGGAATAAAGGATTAAATAACTGATGTTTCCCTACAATGGGAGTGGTGAATTATCAGGTACTATCAGCAGATGCTGTATAGGTGAGACTCTTGAGGGGGAGACTACATGGAGTCTCAAAGCATCGAGTGCTTACTCACCACACAGTGAACCTTGGGAACAACATGGAGGAACCATGACCACAGGGGTGGCTTTGTGTGGCACCCAGGAAGGATTCAGCCTGAGGTAGACCCCAGGAGATGGCAGACATACCCCAAAGGAGGGCTGGTGGCTTTCCAATGCTGCCTGATCACAGAGACAAGAGAGAGCCAGGAACAGGCAACCTGCACTCAGGGCCTACCTCAGAGCTAGTCGTGACCGGCCCAGAGGAGCAGCCGCAGGGCTGTGTAGGTTGGGACTGCCACCTGCTGGGCACCTGGAGAGGGGAGACTCCCTCCCACCCATCCTGAGGGGCTGCTCCCTGTGGTGCATCTGTCTTCAGGTGCAGACTGAGGCTGGCTTGTCCCCGCATGGCACAGTCACAATGCTCATGGCTACAGAGGCCCCATGCAGTATGCTGTCTCTCAGGGCACGGGTGGGGGAACCCCACTGAATCAGAGATGGAGGAAGACTTCTGCTTTCTGCACGCCAAGGCTGCCATCCAGGTCAGAGGCCCCCCAAGGAGGAAACACCAGGATTCCAGGAAAACAGTAGTGAAATAGACTCCGGCCCCGAGCTCTCCACGCTGGGCTTCTCAGGACGCCTCCACCCAACAGGGCAGACCACTGTGACCACGGGACGCAGGGCGGGGCTCACCTCCTCTAGACTTCTGCCTGTCCGTCCCTCTGCCGTGGCATGGAGGCTTTAGGCCGCCACTTGGACGCGAGGATCCCTCCGGACTCCGTGCATGGGCTGGCTTCTGCACCCTCCTGGCCGCTGCTCTTTTTCCATTTTCTAGTACAAAAGCGACACTTGTCACTTCACTTGGTGTCGTATGGGTGCAAGTACTACAACCTCCAAGAAGTTCTCACTGGAACCCAGACAAGGCCTAGTAGCCAACGGTAGGAGGGACGTGACCAGAACTGGGGTTGGAAGGAAAGTGCAATGAAACGTGAACAGCCCACAATACTTTACAGGAGCCATGTGCAGGAATTGCCTTTCTCTATGGCTACAACATGCTCGCAAAGTGTAAGTCAAGGCAAAATTCATCCATTCACAGCTCTGAAAGAAGGAAAACCAGCTTGAAATGCATTTACCTGAGAGCGACAGCCTGGAGTCCCTGCTACATTGTGAAGCCTGTGGGGAAACACAGAACAGGACATCACATGTGTGCAAGGTCCGGGCCTTGCACGCTGAGCCTGGCCTGATGGAACAGGTTTAAGGTAATCAAAAGAAACAGAAGCCGCAGTGACGGTGACATGCAGACTCCACCACACATGTGGCTGGTCTCTGTGTCCCGTCATCCTGCTTTGGGCCCAAGAAGGCAGGACGAGGGCCTGTGGATGTTCCGGAGGAGAGGTGAGTTTCGAAGGTGACCTGGCAAAGGCTGGTCAGGGGAGGACGGCAGGTAGTGAACCTCACTCCTCAGTTCACAAGAGGTATGTGACTCTGCATCCGCATGGCATGCACCGAGCGCTGTCCCTCCCAGGCACAGGCCTGCCCCAGCCCAGAGACATGTACTGAGGGCCCCGCACTAGATGCCAGGATCGGGGGGGATGAGGACATGCTAGTTCTGTGGGAGGACGGTGTGCACAGTATTCATGTTGGGGCAGGGGGTGCATGCGGCCTCACTGGACAGGAGCTGGGCAGTGATGGGCAGCAGGTTTGGCAGGGGGCCCCACTCAAGCCACAAGCGGCAGGAGTCGCTGGCCTTGAGGAGATCAGGTGAGGACTCCTCTGAAACAGGGCACAAGGGGCACTGCCATGCTGGGCAGGGTTGCCTCCTCACATTCCCTTCTAGGTGATGGCATCTCCTTGTGCTCTGTTCTAATGTGGGAATATGTTGCGAGAGAGGCTTGGAAGAGTCAGCCAGAGCCAGACTGGGAAAGCATCAGGCTCTGAGATGACCTAAGATGCTTGTGGTCTGACGCCAGCAATGAAAAACACCCTGGAAACAGCTGCCTAACAAAGACTCATACCTTATATCCAGTTCACATTACTTTTCTTTTTCAAGTTGCCCATAACTGCACTTTTTATGAACTAATCTCTCATCAGTTAACTTTTATTAAAAAGAAGGAAGGAAGGAAGAAAAGAAGAGTTTGTCTTCCCAGGCAAATATAAGGGAAGATTGGCAGGCCGTGCCCAAGGCACTTAGAAGAGAAACAAGAAGGAGGACATGAAACTGGGCTTAAGGCCAGGCTTCCAGAACATTCTGTGATATTGGAGGCTTCCACACCTGTACTGTTCAGCTAGGTGGCCACTGGTCGGGTGTGGCTGTGGAGCATTGCACTACGGCTCCTGGGACTGAGGAACCAAACTTTTAACTGCATTTGATTTTAATTAGACTGTGGGCAGCGGTTCCCATGCCAGGCAGCACAATGAGGGCCTCCTGACATCAGAGAGAGACAGGAATAATCCCCAGAGCCTACGTTTTTCTGGAGGAAGACCAACACCATGCATGAAATAGGCCAACTATTCAGTATGTGAGGAGGAGACAAATACAGCCATCTCTTGGTATCTACAGAAGACTGGGTCCAGGGCCCAACTTGGATACCAAAATTCTCCAAAGCTCTAGTCCCTGATAAAACACAGTGTAGTATGTGCACATAACCTACACATATCCTCCTGTGTGCTTTAAGTCATCTCTAGATGACCTGTAATACCTAACACAATGCAGATGCTATGTAAACAGCTGTTCTATTGTGTTTTTAAAATTTGCATTATTTTATTGTTATTTTTTATTGGCTTATTTCTGAATATTTTCCATCTATGGTTGGTTGGATCCATGGGTGCAGACCCGTGATTTGGAGGGCCGGCTGCACAAAAGGCAGTAGCCCTGTTGGGGGATCCAGCCACAAAGCTAACCAGGTGCGGTGAGGATTCCACTGAGAAGTGACACTTGAGAACCAGCAGAATATGATGACCAATAAAATGAAGGTTTACATGAAATTGATAAGTTCCTAGAAAAAAAATTCACCAGAATTGAGAACAGTAGAGGATACCCATAAAGTTCTATTAAGGAAGCTGAACTTAAGTAGTCAAAAATCTCCTTCAAAGACAACTCCAGGACTCAAGAGTTTCAAGGTGGTTTTATCAAAGATTCGAGGAAAAAATAACCACCTCGTCCCAAACAAACTCTGTCAGAAACCAAAAAAGACAGTATGTTCCAACTCATTTCATGAGCCTGACACACACCAAACCTTGACAAAGTCAAAACTGATCTAGATGGCACAACATGGGCCTGGGTACACATGGGGTCCACACAGGCAGAGCAAGGTTTTCACTAGCCCTAATAAACAGTTTAGTTTATCATAAAACACACACACACACACACACACACACACACACATCATGGGATCCCCTACAAAGTGAATGCACAGGGACAGGACAGGTACCAGTTGGGCAGCAGTTGCCCCATCCCCACCCCAGGGCACAATGGTGCTACCCCACAGCACTTGTACTGTCCGTCATGATGGCCAGAGGGGTTTGGAGCCCTTAAGCTAGCTGGAATGGCTGCAGGGTGGGATCTCAGTCACCATGAAGAGCCTTCTGAACAGATGCCCCTTGTCCTTCCTGTCCAGTAGAGATGCCCCTTGCCCTGCCCCCGTGGCCACTCCCGTCCCTTCACTCACTGCTTTGTGTCCATGGGATAGTCCCTGACTTCTGCTGCGTGGCTGACAACTGTGACCTGCCTTGAGTCTGCCCTCCCAGGCTGGCCTCAACAGGCCAAGAAGCACCTACCCTGCCTGGCACTGCACTCTCTCCTCTGGGGTCTGGGATCCAACAGGGACTGGCTTCATAGCCCTGAGCTTTGGAGACAGCACCCCACTGTCCTCACAGTGGATGCTGGGGAAGGAGGTGTGACCGGGGGACCCTGAAGTCAAGCGGACTCCCCTGGCCTCACCCCCACATGCCTCTCCCTTGCCCAAGTCTGCTCTGCCCTCTCCAGGAATGCACTGCGGTTGTGAGGATGAGTCCTTCTGGGGAGTTGCCCAGTCTGGGGCATCATGCAGCCTGACTCATCACAAAGCAGAACAGCCCCCACGCGGCATCATACATCTGCCCCAGCAAGGTCCGGCTCGGCACCCACCAGACCCACGTGCTGCCCTCCGGGCCAGCTCACCTTCGCCCTGGCTCCTTCCTACCCAGCAACCAGCCTTTGCTCTGCACCTCAGGTCTTCTAGGGAATCTGCCCTAAAAAGCCCACATTGGGACCCTCCCTTCCATATGACCAGACAGAAGGGATTGAGCCTGGCTCCTCCCCAGATGGCCACAGCACTGCTGGGACCCTCCGTCTTTCCTGGGCAGACTCACTCACAGCTCTGACTTTCAAAGCTCTTTGGTCTCTCCTCCCTGGGGTTGCAAAGCCCACCCTCCTCTTCTCTGGCTTGTCCCACCCCAGACCCTGTCCTTATTCTGCTACCCAAGGGTGTCTTCCAGAACCTTCCCCACTTCCCTCCTCTCAGTGAAGAGGAACAGCTGCAGGCCCTCAGCCATGCAACCCGCTCCCCTTCTTCTTCCCCCATGTCCCTCCCTCCACATATGACTTTCTAACCTCCCAAATACAGGCCCCTCCATCCACCAAGCTATGGGCTCAGCCACGCACAGACCTGGAGCCCTCGGAAGTGCATGGACACGTCACTCTTGCCACCCTTTTGAGCACAACTCAGACCTCTCAGCATGGCATCTGCCCCACGGGAAGCCCCACCCTCCTCTCAGATACCCCAAACTGCCTCCATGCCAGCTACTCTGTGGGCTGGAGCAGCCTCTGACCCATCAGTCCTCCACTGGCCGACGTTCTCCTGACCCTCCTCTCAAATGACACCCACACTGCACATCACTGCCTCCAGGTAAAGCCTGTTGGCTTGGTTTTTGTTTTGTCTTGCAGTAAAAGTGATAGGCATACTTATTCGACATGACTTGGAAGCCAAGGATGATATTAAGGGAAAAACCCATTATCCTAATCCTCAAAAGCAGCTGTTGTTCTCAGCATGACATATTTCCATCTCTGTGCATGCACTCCCAATTATTTTTAAAGTGTACATACACAATCATATTCTGATCAAAATGCAGTCCTGAGTCCACGCGATATGCCACAACATGACTGGTAACAAAGTCAAGCTCCAGGCCTGGCTCCAGCATACACGCTTCCCAAGGCCTGCATGCCCGGGACCTGTGTTTACTGAGCTCCACAAGGGCCATGTGCCCTCACACTAGGACAGTGAAGATGAGGCATCTGCCCGTCTCTCACATGGGATGAGGCAGCACAACTCCTGCACACCTCTCTGTCCTGCAGGAGAGTCCTTAAGGGACCCGCTGACCCCAAGAGTATGTCTTCCTTCCCTGCCTTGCTTGCTTGGCCTCCTGGGGCCAGCCGACTCCCTCTCTCTGCCTCAGTCCACGTCATGCCTTCTGCAGCCTGGACCCTCTTGGGTCCCAGCTCGTGTGTCTGGCCACTGGCCTGGCCTTCTCCAAGGACCCGGTCATGAGGTCGACTCTACCTCCACTGTGCCATCATGCTCACACTGGGGAATGTTTTCTTTTGTCGTATGTGTCTCTTGAGAATCAAAGTTTTCTACTTAATTGTCAGTTGGTTTTGCTAAGTTATATTTTTCCAGAAAAGAGTTCATCCAATTTACTGGCACAGAATTGTTCAATGTCCTGTAGCCCTTATTGACTATCTTTATTAAGGAACATCTGGCAAATAATAAACCGCACATGTGTTAAAGATACAGTGACAGTGCGGGAGGACACAGAGAAGTGAGACCTGCTGTGACTATGTCCCTCAAGTTGTCCCTATCCAGGTCTCCTAAGTCATCCCCTAAGCTAACATGGGCCCTGCCATCACCCCACCCCAGGCATGAAGCCAGCTCTGATGAGCTGTGCGTGGGACGCAGGGTGCCTCCTGTCTGTTCCTCTCCCTTCTGAGCTGGCACACGGCTTGGGTTTCTACATGCATCCTCCAGGGCTGAATAGTGTCCACTGTACAGCGTGTGGCCCACTGGCCTGGGGGTGGACATTGAACTGTTTCCACTTTGGGGCTTATATAAGGCTGCTGTGAGCACCCGTGGCCAAGTCTTCATGTGGAAAATGCCCACTAGGCCAGATCACGCAGGCTGCACAACCTTCTGAGGAAC